GAGAGAGAGAGAGAGAGAGAGGAGAGAGATCATGTCTAGTCGTTTCCATTGTGCAACCACATTGAAATCACAAACATGTAAATAAAAATGGAAGCTAAATCAAGCAGAGAGAGAGAGACTGTATCTCAAAAATCTAATCCTCTGTTAAGTATACAATGAAGGTGATCCCCACCATGGATTTGAACTCAGGTTGGAAGCAAATTTGGTAGAGAGAGAGAGAGAGAGTCAATCCAATGTACAAATACAAAGGTCACAAGTAAATCAAAAATGGAACCCGAATGAAGCCTCTTATTCCCCTGACAAAAAGCTTTTACACGCTCTCTCATTTCCTTTTATAGCAACAAAAAAAAATAGAATCCAACAAAAGAACATACACAATCGGCGTCTCCCTCTCCCTCTCCCTCTCTCTCAATACGAAAGTCCCTGGCCAATCCAGACCATGCATTCACAATTGAGATCCATGTGGCATCATCACGGCCATTCAAGAATCATACCTAGTGGTCCCTGCTGTAAATGAAGAAAGAAGACCAGCTGCCTGGGCTGGTAACATGTCCCCGAAGGTGGACATGGCAGCTGCCGATCGGTCTTTGAGCCTACCAACTTGGCTATCAGTGAGCATTGAACCAAGTCTGAGGGTGCCCTCTCCAAATTTGCTTCCAACCTGTGTTTAAACCCAAAAACCATATTTAGTGTGCATACAAAAAGTTGGGATTAGATAGATGATCTCTCTCTCACGCACACACAAAAAAGACACGCAGAAGTTCAGCTACAAACAACAAAACTACCCACGGTTTTCTTAAACCATTCAAATTATACCTGGCTCATCAATGACTTCAGCAGTGGGGTTGCACCAAAGTTCGAGTTGTCATCAAAATTGAGTCTTGGAGAGAGTTCTCCATTGGAGTACGCTTTCCAAGAGCTCCTCGAAGATAATTCATCTGATGAAGCCGAAACAGTTGACGTAGACGTTCCTCTTGACGAAAACACAGGATCGCTGAAAGAACAATTGTGCAAAAATATAGAAAATAAAATAAATAAACAGCCGTAACACATGCACAAGAGAAGAACTCAATAATCACAGGGATCCGAAAGCAGACTATCTGAGAAGTGGAAGAAAAAAAATGCATAATGCATACAAATCCAGCATAGAATTGAGGATGGCAGCATAAGAAAGAAGTGAAGGCTAAATTCTGGGAAGTGGTTTTCCTTGCAATAGAGATCGAATGCAGTTAAGAATGCTATGGTGGTATCGATAACCATATCACCTCCTGCTATTGAGCGGCTATTCAAGACACCACTGCTCTTAGACTTCAGAAGGTCTTTTCTTTCCTATTTTACTTTTGCAACAGAGGGCCGCACTAAGGATTTAGGGTGTTCACAAACGAAGCCTAAACAATCACAAAATAAAAGCTCATAAATTTTCACTAATTCTTTGACATGTAAAATTTTCTTCATTTACCTTGTGAGTGAATATGGCGAGCCATGTGGACTAGGAATCTCATTCCTCTAAATTGTACTCATATGTATGTACCTTCTGATGAATATAGAATATAAAGAAACTTTGAAGTAACTCCAGCAATCAATACAATGCAAAAGGCTAACCCCACAGGTACAGCGTTTAATTCGTCTGGCCAAGTTTTTTGTGCTACTGCATTCATGTTCAAGGTTTCCTTTTCTTTTATCCTATCCAAAAACTCAGTAAATCCAATTTTTTCATTCATAAAACAAGGAAAGAGGGAGAGCAGAGTTGACTTGGCGAGTTTCACCGAGTTGAGATTGAGTTTTTAATTTACTGGTTTATACTGTGGGCTCTGTATTAGATCCAAAACTCTTCAAATCATACTCTCCTTATCTGTAGACATCAGTGACCCATCCAAACTTGTCTATAACAAGAAACTCCTGTTTATTAGCAAACGAAAACTCCTGTTTATTAGCAAACAATAAACTCCTGTTTATTGATCCCCTCTACCCAAAATGATCACCATTGCTGGGAAAGCACCAATTAAATGTCATCAGCCATATATGGCTTTTTCTAAAACAAAGCCGCTGTTTTATTCAACTGGACCTCACACGGTCTTATGGTGCATCTTAACAAACACAATCCAAACACCAACCAGTCATCACAAAGTACATGTCACCACCTGCATTATGTCAAGACGTCTAAGTTTAACAAAGATTGGCTCCTTAGTAACCACTTCCCAAGATCAGGTGAAAAAGACTTCACCCCATTTTCTTCCAATATGCTCTTAGATACCATCTCCAAGCCTCCCTTTACCCAAAAACCACAATACAGCATGCAACCATATTCAACATCAACCAACTGGTTCACCTCAACAAATTGCTTCATAAAGATGGAACACTTCATGTTACCAAAGAAATTAAGCAGTTCACACCCACTAGAAACCAACTGCACCTCTGCTGTCTTTCAAAATTCGTACAAAGCAAGGTGCCTAACTGGAGGTCTATTTTTCCTTGATTAAAAGGTGTGACCACTAAAAACTGGAAGCGCAACAAGCCAGTGACCAAAGAACCATTTATGCCAGACACTACAAGCCCTAGCCTTAGTGTTCCAATTAGAAAATTTTCACTAATTTTTTAATATGTAAAATTTTCTTTATAGCTACCTTGTGAGTGAATATGGCGAGGCATTTGGATTAGGAATTTCATTCCACTATGGTGGCCTCTAAATTGTACTTATAAGTATCCACCTTCTGATGAATTTTTTTTTGATAATGCCAACATTGTATTGATGAAAAGAAAGTTTCAAAACGACCCCGACGGGCTAACAAAAGAACGTCACCGATGGGGGTGACAAACAAACAGAAAGCAGAAAAGAGGCCACCTAGGAAACTAGATAATAAAAGAAAACACCCAAAGAAACAGATGCATAGCGGCCTGCGCCGAGGATTATCAGGTAATGAGACTACCCCGAAGAGGCTCCTTGCTTCACTATATCATCAGCTACTTGATTGGCCTCCCTCAAGATATGAGCCCAGGAGAGCATATGCCTGCAAAGATCAGTAATTTCGTCAAAGGGGTTCCATAGTCTCCAAGGTGGGTGAGATTTGCAAGAGGCCCAAGACATGACGTTTTTTTAGTCCCCTTCTACTATGAGGGAAGAGCCCCATGAGTGGTTGAACCCCCGAAGACCTTCGAGGAGGGCATGGGCCTCTGCCTCAGTAGAATCGGTAGTCGTTGCCCAATAAGTCAGGCACATCCCTCGTGGTTTCTGAATATGCCTCCAATTCCTGCCGGGCCAGGATTACCCAAAGAGGAACCATCAAAATTTAGCTTAATACTGCCCATCTCGAGAGGTCACAAAAGAGCTGAACAAGGCACCTTCCTCGGCCTATGTAAGAGGATGTTGGCCCAATTTAGGTGGAACTCGGAGGGTGATAAAAGTTTGAAGTGGCTATGATTTGTGGCCCAGAAAATGACTAGGCCCCTGATCATTTCCTTGATCTTGTGGATGGGTGCAAAAAGGCCATGAAATATTATGTTATTGCGCTCCTTCCAGATCGCCCAAAGATTCGCCACAACAGTGTCTTTCCAGAGCAAGGATCCAGATTTTGGCCACGGCAGGAAGGCTGCAAGCTTCTATAGATTGGGAACGGACAAAGGGTTTACCCATTCCCATCCGAAAAGTTGAAGGGTATCACCCCAGATGTTATCTATGAGTGGGCAGTGAATAACAGGTGACCGTTAGTCTCCTCTGCAGAGAGGTACATCACGCATCTATTTGGGGTTTGCATTCCTCTCCTTTGTAGTTGGTCCACTATTAATTTAAGACTCTACCCCACAGGGCAAGCCAGTTGAAAACCTGGATCCTGGGGGGGATGAAAGGGTTCCAAGCTTTGGAGATTGAGGGGTGGGCATGCAGCTGTCCCCCAAGGGGGGCAGGTTGAGTTTGCAGAAAAGAGAGGAGACCGAGAAGACCCTTGAAGGGAGTCCAATTTTGTCCTCCCCTTAAGATGGCGAGTGAGAAGAGGACAGGACAGATGATAAGTCTAGGAAGGCGGAGAGTTCCTCATCCCGCAAAGGTCTGCGAAGGTGGGGGTTCCAAGATCTTGAAAGAGCCTGAGGAAGGAAAGAACTCCTCGATGGAGGCTGAAGGGTTTCTGGCAAGGCAGAAAAGGTGTGGAAATTGAGTCGATAGGGGTAGCCACCCAACCAAAGGTCAAGCCAGAATCGCACTTTTGAAACATTTCTGGGGTGAAATCGAATATAGGTTCTGAAGAGGTGAAGGGAGTGAGAGATTGGCCTCCAAAAACCAGGGGCGGCTTGGGGTTGAGAATCTGGGATGGACCAATGTGAGGAGGAAAGACGGTATTTGTGGCTTAGAACGAGGTGCCACAAGTGACCACCGTGAGCGGCTAGTCTCCACCACCACTTGCATAATAGAGCAAGATTGTTCTTTTTCAGGCTTTGGATCCCCAGACCCCCCGCAGATTTGGGTCGGCACACTGTTCCGAGCTAAAAGATGGTCTTTTTTGGTAGTCCCTTCTCCGGACCACAAAAAATTTTGCATCCATTGTTCTAGACATGAGGCTACAGAAGCAGGAAGGTGGAAGAGAGACATTTGAAAGATGGGGACACCGGATAGAGCTGCTTTTATTAAGGTTAATCTACCAGCCAGGGAGAGGTACCTCCCTTTCCATGATGCCAACTTCCTGTCAAATTTATCTATGAGGTGGCTCCACTGGGATTTTTTTGGTTTACAGTAGAAAAGAGGCAAACCAAGGTAGGTTGAGGGAAGAGAGTCAATGCCACATCCCCAGCTTTCTGCAAAGGGTTGACGGGTATTGGGTCCACTGAGCCTTCTGATGACTATTGAATATACAAAAACTTTGACGTAACTCTAGCAATCAAGACAATGCAAAAAGCTAATCCCATAGCAATCATTGTTGCCTAACTTCTGGTACTTGTGCCTTTCCTGCAAGAATTTGCATAGTTACTTTTATTCTATAAATGGCTGAAATTTAGTCACATTCATCATTTAAATTTTCTCGCATATTCCTGTTATGTTCTTTAGTTTCAAGCCTTGAATTCATCATCAAGTAGAAAAATTCAGATCCCGCCGCCCAGGCAGGCACCTAAAAACCCTGGCAGCCCTAAAGTGGGGTTGTAATTGTCGTTTGGTGGGTTTTTTGTCTGTGTAGGTGTTGGGAGGGTTTCTTTGGTGGTTTGGACAACCAGAGTAGTGTGAAGAGAAGACTGAGGGGTACCATTAGAAATTCCAAAAAATGAGGTAATTTTGTCATATTTTATAGTCCTACATTATATCTTTGTCCTCAGGGTGTGAACTACGGAAGAAAAAAGAGGAGAGAGAGAGAGAGAGACAGAGAAAGAGAGGAGAGGTTCTGCTATGTTAATGGAGGTTCTGGTTTTTTAAGTTCTCTCTCCTGCTCACTGCTGTTTTTGCGACAACCTGCTGTTGTTTGTTCAGGGAAGAAAGAGAGAGAGAGAGAGAGAGAGAGAGTGGAAGGTCACTGCAACGTTAATAGGCAATTAGGGTTTTTCTTTCTAAAGTGTTTCTCTCTCTCTTGAACCCTGCTGCCTTCTTTTAAGGGGCTTAACACACTTCTTTCTAGCCCTTGATTTTGCTTGTTATATATTTTATTTCAAAGGGACTTACATTTTTTACCCCTTTTTTTTGGTTTCTTTTAATGGGGTAGCACTAGGCAGGTCGAGCCACCCGCCTAGGCACATGACTGCCTGGGGGTGGGCCACTTCAGTTTGGTGGCCTTCCTAGACTGCCTGGGCAGCCAGGCAGCCGAATTTTTTAACACTGCCATCAACTATTTAGGGATTCTAAAGATGCAATGAAAAATTAATGCTAGTAGAATATGTCTGTGAATCCCACAATTTATGATATGATACTGTGATGTAGCCTGACTTCCCAATGACCCAAAGCCAGTCTTCTTTTTTATTCACAGGCCAGTTCTCACCTCTGACATACTTTTATGCATTTGTGCTAGTATACATCACATCTAAAACTGATTCTTGATAGGGAAAACCATTGACCAAAGAATGCCAGAGGTTGGTTCTCACCTCTGACATTCTTTTATGTATTAGTGCTTTATATACAATTAAATCTACCACTGTTTCATGATGAAAATGACCACATCCTTTTTGTTCATTAATATAAGTAACTGCAGAACCCATATTTTCATGTAATAGTAACGTTATCTTTAATAATCGAAATCCTTGTGTCCTTCAATAACTGTCATTGTCAGTATCCATCAAAAGCATGACAAAAATAACTGTAAATGTCTCGTGACAACCACAGTTATTTATAACTATCTAACAAAACAAACAAAAAGAAACTAAATTGCAGGCATAATATCTAATGACTGAATTGGAAACAAAAAAGAAGACAAGATGGACTCTCCAGAAAACATGCACAAGATATAATCATCATCATAGCCTTTTCCCAACTACAAGGATATGCGGTCCTGGGCAATTTCATATTCCAGATTGGGTGTCTAAAGCAGGCCCATGACACTTCTGCAACTGATATTCAGCACTCAATTGGAGTTGAGTCAGGATAGTGTGCACAAAATGAGTCCACCTATTTTGACCAAATCAAGTTGATTTGGTTAAAAAAGTTGAAAGCTGGAGTTGCAAAACTTTGGTTTCTAGAGCCCATCCCTTCTTTTTTAGGATTGGTATTATTAGGCTAGTATCTCACATATAGTAAGTCCAGGCAGATAGTAATATAAGAAAACTTCACCAACAATGAGAAGTCAAACATTAACAGTTAACAATTTCAAAGAAAAAGAAAAAGAGAAGTCAACATTAAATAAGAAACAATAGATGAAGAGCCCCATGTAGAGAAAATGGAAATCGGACTTGGGATTTATTGATTAGTTGTTCACAACACATTGTCCCAAGTTCGACTCCTGCCACTGAACAACCCAAACAAAAAAGGAAAATAAAATATGGTCTGAGAGATACCCAATTGGAAGAAACAGGAAACGAGGTATTGTGGCACACCGCAAAATATTTGACTCTGCATTTGTAGGCAGTTTTTGAACAGTATCAGTGTACATACGATTGAGCTGTACCAAGAATCCAAACAGGACTGCATGTCGCTGATATGACTGCTTCGCATTCTCCCAAAGATACGGTTCATATCTGCCCAGTTGCAAACCTCAGCATATAAGCCTAAAACAAGTAATAGTCGACAATGGAAATGTGTTTGTTTGAAAAGAGTTGAAAACATGAGTAAGTTCAAAACAAGAACACAACTTCACTTCCTATCAGGCTGGCTGAAAAGCATGTTCAAGAAGAGGACCACAACAGTTTCAAAAAGTTTCATATGGTACTAATAGACAAAGGAATATTCTTATTGTGAGTTTTTCTTTTCTTGGTAAGAAACTTCTTAGTCACTAAAAGAAGTGTCATTAATATGCTTACGTGGCCCAGTCTATAGGATCCAGCCTCTCTGAAAGATTATTGAGTAATTTCATCACACGATCTCTAGTAGCAGAATCAGGCTGAACAGGAGGTACAGGTTTCCTCCTATTAGGAGGCCTAGACATTATCTTTTTCAATAACTCAGTCCCCATGGCATTAGAGTCGGTATTAGTAAAGGATATTTCTTTTCCTCCGCCAGATAGAATGTCTGAAATGAACCGCAGGTCAAACAGAACTTGCAAAACTCCTTTTTCTGTTACTTGAACAGTAAGACTGTCCAAATTCGAGAGGAAGTTTTCATAGATACTCAATACCTACAAGGAAACATCACAACTTAGTATCCTATACAGATCATGTCACTAAAGCAAGTTGAGTACAATAAGGGGAAAACCAGGCACAGCTACTAATTAAGTCGATCCAAAATATTCTAGTATAACAGTTTCAAATTTCAAATAACATAGACAATTGTGCATGCATATGATGCAATCTAAGTTTCAAATTCCAGAATATCTCCAACCATATTCAGTGTAAATTGTCAAGCATGGATGCTAAACAATCATGGCCATAATTTACAAAAGTTGTATGGACAAGCACAGCTCCAAGTGCCAATATCTCCAACCATATTCAGTGTAAATTGTCAAGCATGGATGCTAAACAATCATGGCCATAATTTACAAAAGTTGTATGGACAAGCACAGCTCCAAGTGCCACACTCTCCCTTCCAGCATTCTTTATTCTTTTCTTTTGTTTGGGTATTGGTAACAATATCATTTAGAAAATAAAGATTACAATGGCAAGGAAATGATAAGGGCGCACAATAAGCTCTCCCCTCCAAGATGGTACAGGATGAGCTCAAGCAGAATAGAACCTTAAGGACTTCCTCCAGTGATACATTAATAGCAAACAAATTACTAGGAAATGAAATTAATCAAAAATAGTGATAAGCATAAACTAAAAGAGTTCCTGACCACCCACTAATATTACCATCAGATTGGCGTGCAAAACAGTTTATAGAAATCCCAGTAATACGAGAAAACAAACCACTCATAGATTTAGATCAAAGCACACTCCTGCTGCCACTTACAAAGCCAACTAATCTTACAAGTAAAGCTGCAAGACTGCAATACATTGACATCAGTAGACTTCGTTGAATGCAAGAGTGAATGCATCAAAGGAACTTTCATTCCCCATTCATATAAGTCTCTCCAACAGTGAATCCCTCTTTACAAGTTGTCATCATCATCATCATCAGAACTTTATCCTAACTCTTTGGGGTTGGCTACACAAATCTTGTTCCACCATTCTGCTCTAGCAAAGGTCATTCCCTCAGTAAGACCATAAGTCCACATCTTTTCTCACTACTTCCATCCATTCCCTTTTAGGCCTTTGCCTTGCCTTTTTAGATCCTTCTACTTGAACCAAATCACACGTCCTAACTAGTGTTATAGTGAGTCGACTCTATACATGGCCAGACCACCTAAGTCTACTTTCCCTCATTTTTTCTTTACAAGTAACTTAAATTCATTGAGAAAAAGAATTATGTATCACCCACAAAAAAAAACAACAGAAATGAATGATTACAAAAAACCCTGCCATGAAGTAGAGGGTGAACAAGAAAAAAATAGAAAGGTCCAACCAAAACCTTCTTTTAATTGTAGATTGGCAAGAGAACTGGCATCCATCAAGAATGCAAGCAAAGGTAATGAAGAATTCCTCAAATATGAAATCTCTCCACAAAAATGGATCCCACGCTCCACCACCCTAAACAAAAAACTTATCAGTAGCAAGGGGTGTTCTACATATCCCATCACTTGTGACTGCCACCAGGTAGGAAACCCCTCACATATTCCATGATTTATGCTCTTTCCAAACACATCACACAACCAATAATGAACAGAGCTTCCACGGGGTGTGGCACCAAATCAGGAACAGGAACATGCCCCCCTCCAAAAAGAGTGAGTCAACTGAGGAAGGTCTGACCCAGTCCAAACCAAAGTCCCTCATGAATGAGGATCAAACCAAAAAGGTAACCAAGAAGTGCAGTAGGAGGTGGCCAGCAGTTTCGCCCCCTGCTCTGCACATGATACATATATTGGGTGTGGCACCAAATCAGGAACAGGAACATGCCCCCTTCCAAAAAGAGTGAGTCAAAAGGTCTGACCCAGTCCAAATCAAAGTCCCTCATTAATGAGGATCAAACTAATCAAGTAACTAAGACGTGCAATACGATGTGGCTAGCAGTTCCACCCCCCTCCCAGGTCTGCACATGCTACATATAGGGTAGTTCTTTACATTTATGATGAAGGTGGTTAATATGAGGTTTTTTATCAATTCAAACCAACCAAAAGAGAACCATCACGGGAACCAGTGCATTTCATACCAACTGGAACAATGCAATGTACCCTAGGAGGCCCTATGAACTTGAGGAAAAAAAAAACATCTCACCAACAACTTATCTTTCAATGCTAACCCAACCACCAACCCCTTCACAAGGAAGAAACACTCCTTGCAACACAGACACTAGGTCCAAAGGAGACAACACCCCCAAACTGTTAAAGCCCCTACAAAAGGCCTAATCATTTTAGAAAATGTGGGGTTCCCTTAAGCAATCAAAGTAAGGCATACTTTCAAATTCTATTAGAAGATGCAATTTCGGTCCCGGAAAGCTTACGATGACTGAAAATATATTTCGCACCTAATTATAAAATTTAAAAGTTCAAAATATGGCACTAATCAAGCAGATCTATAAAAACTTAAAAATACGGTCCATATAATATGCTACAAGATGGACTATTTTTAGAACTTGAAATCCTTTTCTTTTTTATATCTATATATCTTAGAGTTTGAAATGATAAATTTGAGGGTTTTCAAGCGTCAGAACAACATTTTTGGCCAGGTTTTTGAAGTGTAACTAACTTCTACAGTTCTACAATATAAAGTCGACAAGTTATATAAACTCTTTCCTTTTAGAAAACTTCAGTATACAGGTGTTGAGCAGGAGAAGATGTTGGGTATATAGTCAGGGCCCTGCATGATTAGACATACCTGAGACCAGGGCTAGTGCCCGGTGGCTCCATAAAACTGAATTTTCCAGCCAACAGTACCAGGGTGAAAGGTTATGCCCTAGAGAGTGTGAGCTTCCCAATAAGTGGGTGCTTCCCAAACAAGGTCAATGATAGCTTTTCAGCAAGTTGTCATAGACCCAAAACGGAGTTAGAAGTAGAAAGTTATCACCTAGAGAGTAGGAGTATGTGGCATGGCCCTCTTTGGTGCTCTCAGTGGGGTGGTCTCAGATCGCTCTATTGCTTATGCAGGCGGGTTTCATGCAGTGGGAGCTGCCACCAGAGTAGTGAGACTTAAGAAGTTGTTAATTTGTGCGAGCAAGTGCAGGAATATGTATAGTGCAACTCACACCGGTATGAAAACCTTAATAATGAATTTTTCTTAGAAATTTCCACTTCCCATGGGTGATAATTTGTCCGGTAGAGACTTCCACCTTCCACCACTAAGAAAGATCATTGATCTACTGCTTGAATGCACACATAAATGCAGTTTTGCACATATGTCTACTCCCATGTCTAAAGAATCCTATTGGTGAAACCAAAAGACAGTTTCAACTCCCAACACACATGTACTTAAGCCTTTGGTCCTCAAAAGAAGAAAAATCTCTGTTAAAGTGGCTGGTGCCTGGTCTAGAACTGATTAACCCATATGGAGATAGGGTCAATGATTGCTAGTATAACAAGAGGAAGGTTATTTTGGCAAGGTGTCACCTTCATGAAGCAAATTGAGGCCACATGTCTCTTCGGAGGAACAAGGAGGACATGTCTCTTGCATCCAAGATTAACAAGGAAGGGCAAGGGACCTCCTAGAAGTTATACAATGGTGTCGTAAACCCAATTTATGAGCATAAGGACTAAGGACCCAGGCCAAGGAGGGTTGTATCTTGCGGTCTACTCCATGAACTTTCGTTCAGCATGCTCGACTCGGTCAACCACCAGATAGAGAAGGAGTATTAACCTCAAGCCCAGACAGGCTCTGCCTTGGACCTCCCTATATGTGGGCTTGAGAACCTAGAAGGATTCCTGGCTGTCAAACAGCGCACTGTGTTGGTTTATCACTCCAAAATCCAGGGCTTTACTGTCTATGCCAATGTTCTGTAGGTAGCAGACAACAGGGACCTTCGGAGAGCTGATTCTTCAAGTGCATTGGATTTCAGTGATATCTTGATTACTAAAGTTCTTTGAGTCTAGCTTACATACGCAAAAGATAGCTTGAAACAATTTGCATTTTGTGGGACATCATATCAAGGAATAAGTGAGTGTCGCCACTGCGTAAAATTGCAATTTTCAGACATCTCCCGTTATTTCTAAATCCACTGACCCAATAGTGGAAGTGGTAGATGCAAACAAAAGCAGAAGCAGGCCAATGCCTGCATTTTAAATGACAATGGCGAAAGAAGCAGCTAGAGGACAGGATCTGGGAGTATGAGGGGGATGATAGAGTTCGAGTACCATCACAGGTACAAGGTTCCTATGATTTTTCAGTGCCAATTAATCACTGTAGACACCCTAATTGCTCCTCTAATTTAAGAATCATTGAGCCCATATTTATATAAATATATATAGACACACACCTTGGCCAGCCCCATGCCGATCCCAAGCCCGAGTAAAGGAGAAGGTTTATGTTAGGTATGCAACCAACGTAAAACTTTGCCACATCTTTTCATGAATCCAGTTTCAATGATATTTGATCATGCTAGGGTGTTCCCTGTAAGCAAATGGCGGCTTATGGGTCTTACCAAGGGTATGGCCCTTGATAGAGCAAAATGGCAAAACGTGGATTTGTATAGCCGACCCCAATGGGATAAGGCTTGTATTTGTGTGTGGGTGTATATATATAAGTTTCCTTGTGAACCATTTGCATCGACAAATATCACACTGACTGCCCACAAATAATAAAAGCATCGACTCAAGCCAACCGTTAACAAAATGAAAGTAACAGCAAGGGAAAAAGATACAATCCTAAACCTTTTAACTAGATTATTCAATGGTTCACTGTTAAATAAAATCCATGCCGATAAGAAGAACCAAAATATTCTGCTTACCTTTTCCAAAAGATTCCTCGCAAGATTATGTAGAATGAATTTGTCAAGGACATGGCCTCCAGTTCTATGAATTTCTTGACATACTTGAAACAGAAAAGCAGTGACATAAAGTGAAGGCATGGAAGGAAGCGCTATTTTTATTTCCAATGGGCCACCTTCTGGCTGCTCTTGTTTCATTACTGTTTCTTCCCAGCCCTGCAAGAATTTCACAGTGTAACTATAAATCAATTTATACATATGGTAAGGGCAATATGTTTAGGAAGACAACATTTGAGTAAGATGACAAGAGATTGTAATAATGTCCTCATATGTTATAAGTTATAAGGCTTTCAAGATGATATGTTATAAGTTTCATTATTGTGGGTATTAAAATAAACCTATATGGTCTAGAGCTCAATAAGCACTCAGGTAACCCAGTTAAATAATCTTTGAGTTCTTAAGCACTGTCTTGGCAGAAACCAAAGAAAAAAACAGAACCAATGTTCAAAAATGCGGAGGCGGCCGCCTAGGCGGTTTGATCTCTGGGCCGCCAAGGTGCCTAGGCAGGCACCCAGAGACAAAGGCGGCCTGCTTTTTGGGGCAGTGCAGATCCTTGCGGATTTTTAGCCCACCCACACCCTCCCCCATTTTATTATATAAAGAAATGACTTTTTTATTTTAATAAGTAAGTTTTGTAATTTAAATAGTTAAAACTCAAAAGCAACATACGACTATAGACTGTAATTTAAATAGTTAAAATTCAAAAGCAACATTTAAAACGCTAAAAAAAAAGGGTAAAAAACGATATTCATTCGATTTAGGGACAATGGACTTTTTTTATTGAATTGTTTCCCAAAGACCCAGACTACATATCAAAATGGGAAAAAAATAATCCAAATAAACAATAACATATCAAATATATATCATAAAGTATCACCAAAAAAAATACAAATAGCAAAGAATAGCATCATAAGACAATGTGAAAAAGCCAAATACATAACCTAATAAAAAGTATTGAAACATACTAACCTTCTTGAAGTGGAATCGATATTGGGCATAACCCAAATATTTTGGTTCTCAAATCTCCTCTTTTACAACCACTATAAGCCTCAAAAAGATTGGGGATGAATGTCCTTTATCATGACCATTCGAGGAGGTCGAAAAAAATTTTGATCTCTCAACAAATCTTCAAATCTAGTTTTTGTCAAGTTGTCTCACTCTAAACTTCACTAAAAATGTTTTTGGGAACAAGAATGGCCCCTCAAACCCTTTTCCCCCCTTTCAAGGTGGCGCCCAAGCGCACGCCTTTTACACCGCCTAGGCCGGCACCTAGCAAAAGCTGCCTAGAACAGGCAACCTAGTCCAAGACTAGGCATTTTTTTAAAAATGCCACCTAGGTGGCTGGGCAGCCGACTTTTAGTTCATTGAACAGAACAGAAAACAAAAAGGCATATACAAGATTAACAAAATATTTTACATTTCTCCACTACTTCCAAGTTTATTCAGGTCAGCAAAACAATACGTTTGTTTTAAGAGATGTATGCAAACATGCTATGATGTAAATGCTCTCCTTTACCTAAATGATAATCTTCAGCAATGATTGAAAAGACAAAAAAATAAAATAAACGGTGGTCTTCTGGTGGTTAAATGAAATGAGATTATCCTACCGATCTGAAGTGCTAATAAGTAACATCAAAGTTTCTGCCCAATTAGCTGAAATGTGTGTTATGTTGATGACTTTTCCTTTCCATAACTTTAAAACAAAAGGTCCACATTCCAAATTGCATCAGTTCTTCCAATATATTTTAATCAACTATACAAAATACGCATACCCATATTGAAAATCTACTCTGAAATTTTAGACCTCAATTTCAATAATAAAACAACAAAGTAAATCAATGTAAATGCCATTGGAAAAAAAGGAATCCTTCGGCCTTTGCTGGAATTTAATGCAGACTATAATGCCCATGCCTCATCCAAATGATTCATAGTAGGAGAATAGACACCATCTCAAAGATATAGTTCAAAAAGCACAAAGGTTTGGGGCAAAAAGTTGTAGTGAGTGTTCAAAACTAAAATCATTACAAAAATGAAAAATAAAAAAATCTTCAGTCTTAAGAGATTCTAAGGTATCAATAAAGCTCCACATACACTCATAGAAGTCGTTTCAGATAACACATCATCCTTCTGGAGATCCTCAGCCAAGGTGGTTGATAGCTCATCAGAAACCCATGATATCCACAGCCCATGTGCCTTGACGCAAAGCTCTCTTAGAGTCCTGCTTAGTTCTTCAAGTTTCAGGTTGGAAGCATCATCCACTGCAAAGGGACTAACAAAGCCACTTCGAGGCGAAAACAACTGTCTTCGTGGGCTCTCTATGGACGACTGATCAAAATTTGCTTTAGATTGCCTAGATAGTGATAACCCATCATGGAAACCTCCACTTTTTCCCTGGAGAACCCACAGTCTCGGAGACCCTAGTATCAATGGTATGTGGCTTGAATGATTTCGAAGAGCAAATAAGAGCCTACCGATAAAAAGAGTCCTCTCAATGATAACAGATGGGTTTAACGATTGATCTCCTAGTGAATCAGACTTTTTGTGGTGCCCTAAAATTGAGTATAAATGCTCCAATTCCTGTTCAAGCTCCTTTACAATGGTTGTTATGCATTTGTAGCACTCACTTTGAAGATATGGTGAGAGCTCCTTCATCCTAGACTGCAAATTATGAGCTTGGAAGAAATGCAACAAATCCTCCAATATATCTTTACATCTTTGGTCCACTGCATCTCTGATTCGACCAACTTCAGGCCCAAAATAAGCATTGAGACAGCTGTGGAACTCAATATCTTCAGGCACGCTTTTCAACCCAAGTCCTGTCTTCCAATCCTTTGGCTCCACAAACCAGACCCCACCTGAGGAATTCATCCTTGAAGAAGCTTCGGGTTCGTTAATTCCGCTCATTGAAGCCCTAATGTTAACGTTTCTCTCAAGATCTTCGAAACCCAAGTGCACGATCTCTTTCATTCTTTCAACAAAAATAGGTTCCAACATCTCCTCCCATAAATTTTTTGGCTCCTTTAACACGAGCTCACAAACACTTTGCCATGGAGATTCAATCTCTGAACCAAACACACTGCGAAGCCAATCTAGGCTCCCCTCCAATACCCCCCGATCCTCTAATGTCTCTCTAACACACTTCTCTACATAGGAGAGTTCTTCCCCACTTTTAATAACATCATTCAAATACCTCCTACCCATCAAACCGATATCATCTGCACAAGATTTAACCCATGATAAACAAGTTTCAGCCACAAATTCACCAGGTAGGATTACCATAACAGTCTCTAATCTCTCTCTATGAAGCTTCCATAGTCTAACTTCTTCATCAGGATTTGGAATTCCCCCAAATAGTTGAGAACCAGGAGGTGTGCCCAAAACTGTTTCATAAAACAATGGCATATCATTCAAAACCTGCAAAAATAGCTCTCCCACCTGCCACAAACTCACCTGGATAACCCTGATCACATTGCAAAATACCCTAGAAACGAGATCCCGATCACTTGATTCCTTTGAGAAAGAACTCAACTTTTGAGAAACCCATGTTCGTCTAGAATCGAAGAAGAGTGTCAATACCTGTTTTGGATGGAGATCATCAATTATTGCAGTGGCCGACAAAGCATCTGCATAAAACCCAAGATTCAAGTCTTGATCAAGTAATCGATCTCTACTCCTCTGAGAGATCTGAACCCTAAAGCTCTCAACAAGCTGCCATTGATGCTTGAGCAGAGGAAAATTCGACAAAATCATTGAATTCTCATCAACTCGAGCATTGGCAACCAGATCATATACAGCTCTTGCCCTAAGGTATCGACCTGCTGCCTCAAGAAACATGCATTCATCGAGGCAACCCCATATGTTCTCAGGTGTATCAACCAGATATTTAACCCTAGAGGCTATGGAGTAAAGTTTGTCCCTTGTTTGTTTTGCATTTGTCCTGTTGGGATCTGGATTAGGGCTAAGGTCAGGGCTAGGATTTAGAGAGAGAAGTGCACCATCAATACGTTTAAGGTTTTGAGATATTCGAAGACAAGAGTCTCGCATATGGATAATGGAATCAGCAGAGGCCAAGAGGTCTCTGTAACTTGTTCCTACCAGTTGGCGAAGGTCCTCTTTTTTGGCCTCGATTTCTTTCCTTGTATTCGCCTCCACTGTTCTGATCTCTGAAACTGCTTTTGAGCAAAATAGAGTCTCCGCATCCATGGAACCGATTCCCAATGGAGCTGGCCCAGCTTTCATGGTGGAATTCAAGTTTCATACAGTGGATTATTTCCTTTTCTTTATCATTGACTGTGTATCATTCTATTTCCCCATCTTCCTCCTCTTCCTCTGCTGCTGCTCCTGCTTTCATGGCAGGAGTCACAGAGAATTGGTGGCAGGGGTTCATAAAGAGTCAGGTTTGCAAAATTAGGGTTTTCAAAGCTTTCATGGCGGATACTGAGAAATGCAAGGTGGTGATATCTTTAGGCTTACAGAGAATTAGGGTCTGGGTATGATAATTGGGGAAATTTCAGAAAAACCGAGCGTTAGAGAAGCTCTTCTCCTGTCCATTCAGCGCTCATAAAATAAAGTCGCAGACTTGTCTGAGATGCTGACAAAAATGTGGAAAAAGGACTTTTACCTATCCTATGCAGCCAAAACTTTCTTCAATGCTGCCTCAGATAATTGGGTTTACGGTTTTCAAATAGAATCAACGTTTCAGAGAGTTCGTTCTTCTTCTAGGGCTTTTGTTGGGGCAGTTTGGCTTCTGGTTTAGAGAGAGAAGAGTTTAGAGAGAGAGAGAGAGAGGAGGCAAACTTCAAATGCAGGGAAGGGACACCGTTCCAGATCCGACACGTACAACGTCGCATGCGTGAGATAGCGTAAATTTCGGTATCGGCCGCAAGCGAGCGAAAGTTTGGATAAAATTTCGGATGGGTTTATAGCCTCGAACATGGGCTGTACGAACTCGGGGAGGCAAAGGGTCAGGTCGGACCCAAAGTCACCGGACCTGGAACAATACCTGGACCCAAAAATATAAAGGACCTAGACCGGATCCAACCCAACCCAAAAATGAAAAGATTTATAATTTTAAAATGGATATTTTTCCTTAAATATATTTCATAAATTAAGACCTAAAAATATAATGTTGGACCCAAATCCAGACTCAAGTAGTGCTCGAGTTGAATAGTTTGTGGACCTATTTTAGATTTTCGATGGGGCCTGCTTAATGTTTGTGGACCACATATTTTGCCTGAAAGCATCTTTTTATTAAGGTGTCTGATTTCTGTCTTGATTTCCCTTACCATTGTTGTTTGGGGGGATTTTAACTTTATTAGGTGGCCTCATGAAAGTAATTACAATGTTTCTATTACGTCAACTATGCGTATGTTCAGTAACTTTATTGAATCTCATGCCTTGATTGATCTTCCTATTTGTGGTATTGCTTTCACTTAGACCAATAACAGTTCTTCGAATTTATCTATGTCTAAATTAGACAGATTCTTGGCGTTCGGGAACTGGTCGGAGTGTTTTCCTTGTACTCTTGTCAAGGCCCTCCCTTGACTGTCCTCGAAACACACACCCATTCTTCAGGTCCTAAACCCTTCAGATTTGAAGAAGGTTGGCTTGCTGAAAAGGGGTTCCTGACCTCATTAGAAGTGCCTGGGAAAACTCTCATCTCTTTTGGCTCTATAGACTTTCTGCTCCATAATAAGCTCCTCAGCGTTAAGCGTAGGCTTACTGCTTGGAGGAGTGACAACCAGTTAATGTTAGGCACAAAATTGATGACACTCTTAGATGCTTAGCAGAGTTTGACGGTGTTGTCTAGTCTTCTGGTACCCTCCTTGCAGAGTTGGTGCTGGCTTGAGCTGCTAAAGTTGCTGAGCTCCAGGAGGTTCGTAGAGTGGAGGAGATTTACTAGAAGCAGAGATCACAGGTTAAATGGTTGAAAGAGGGTGATCTGAACACAAATTTTTTCCATGCCATTGCTAATGCCAGGAGACGGCATAATGATGTCTCTGGTCTTCTGATCAATGGAATTAACCCTAACGACAACGCCAACATGGCTACTGCGGTTGTTGACCATTTTAAAAGAGCCTTCACCTCGAAGACGGTGACCACTCCAAGTCTGTCTCGAGTGGGCTTTAAATGTCTCTCGGATGGCATGCGTGACGTCCTCGAGGTGGATGTGTCTATGGAAAAAGTGAAAAAAAGGGCATTTGCCTTGCCTGGGGATAAGGCTTCTGGCCCTGATGGCTTGCCCCTTCTCTTTTTCCTCAATTTCTGGAACCGGGTCAGTAACAAGGTGCTAGGAATGGTGTGTGACTTCTTGAGGACTGGTGAAATCTTTCGAGGGGTTAATTCTTATTTTATTGCTCTTATCCTTAAGAATTCTACTGTTGCCTCCCTAGGGGACATCAGGCCCATTAGCCTTCTTTCAAGTCTTTATAAAATCATTGCTAAGGTGTTTGCTGAGAGACTTAAAGTTATAATGCCTGATATTATCTCTGGTCCTCAGTCTGCATTCATTAGGATAGGCTTATCACGGACAGTGTTCTAGTTGCGTAAGAGTGCATTCACTCGAGGATCTTGAGTCGTGAAGATGGAGTGGTCAATAAATTAGATTTGGAAAAAGCTTATGACAGAGTAGAATGAAGTGTTTTACTAGAGATAGTGAAAACCATTGGCTTTGGTGAGAAATGGAGGAGCTGGATTAGTGGGTGCTTGTTTTCTTCTCATTTCTCTATTTTTTTAAGGGAAGTCCTTCTAGCTTCTTCCGTGCTACTAGGGGGCTCCGTCAAGGTGATCCCCTATCCCCCTTTTTGTTTACCATTTATGTTGAGTGCTTCAATAGGTTTTTATGCAATGTGGTGGCTAAGGGGCACTTGCGGGGCTTTCAAATGCCCAATGATGGCCCGTATGTTTCGCACCTTCAGTATGCTAATGACACATTGCTCTTTTGTGAGGCTAAGACTGAGCAGACTGATAATATTGCTAGCTTTTTAAACATTTGCGAAGTGGCCTTGGGGCTTGAGGCCAATTTTGCGAAGTCAGTTGTAGTTAGTATTAACTGTGATGACTCCTTAGTGGCCCTAATTGCAACCACCCTAGGGTGCAAATTTGAGAACTTCCCTATCCTGTACTTGAGTTTGCCTATTTCATATGGGAGGTTACCTTTGCCTGTATGGGATAAAGTAATTCAAAGAATTCAAGTTAGGCTTGATCTATGGAAGTATAAATACCTTTCATTTGGAGGTAGGATTACCTCAATTAAAGCATGCCTCTCGAATTTATTGATCTACCAAATGTTATTGCATCAGATTCCTTACAGCGTGGCCAAGAAGATTGAAACCTTGATGAGAAACTTTTTGTGGGCCTCTTTCGACAGCTCTAAAAAGTTTCCCCTCTTGCTCTGGGATAGGTTGTGCACCCCAAGGATGGAAGGTGGACTAGGCTTAAAGCGAGTTACCTTGGTTAACAAAGCACTTATGTCTAAGTGATGGTGGAGAAGCTTGATTCTTAAATACCAGTAGTGGTACAAAGTCGTCGCTGCAAAATATGGGGTTGATCGATTTCATATGTGGGTAGGAAGTAGAAGTGGTACACAGGCGATGTCTCCTCTCTGGAGACACATTCATTCGTGTAAGGCGTTGAATCACAGGGATGTCTGGTGGGGCCTGGTGATGGTTGCAACATCTCTTTCTGGCACCACAAGTGAGTTGGAGATGTGCATTTGAAGCTTCTCTTTCCCGTTGTTTTTCAACAAATGGTTAATCCCAATGCTATTGTGGCTGATGTGTTTGTTCGTAGGGGTAGCGAGGTGTTTTGAGACATTTCTCTCCCCTATAGTAGGATTCCCGATGTTGTTTTTTGGGAGTTCGTTGGGCTGCTTTCCCTTCTCCATGAGGTATGTGTTCCACATAATGCCTCCGACGCAGTCTTTTGGGAGATTCAGTCCGATGGACTGTACTCTGTAAAGTCCATGAATAACCTCTTGTTCCATGACCGTTGGCGTTGGTCGATGCCTCAGATATGGAAATGGCCTTTACCTTTAAAGATACAAGCTTTCCTTTGGCTGACAGTGCAAAATAAGGTTCTCACTATTGACAACCTTATCAAGAGAGGCAAGGTGTTGCCTAATGTGTGCTTATTGTGTAAATTGGATTCTGAAATAGGACCGCACCTCTTTCTTCACTACCCTTTCACTTTTAGAATCTGGTGCTGGTTTTTTGATGAACTTGGTCTTGCCTTGGTGATGCCCGCTAATGTTCTTGGGATCATCTCAAACTTGTCAGCTCCCTACCCAAAGCTGGCTCAATCTTATGGCAGATGGCGAGAGGCCCAATACTCTTGGAAGTGTGGAAGGAACGGAACCGTAGGGTTTTCGATGGTGTCAGCCTACCTTTTGCAAACGTGTTGGACAATATTCTTCGTGGCATGTGGCTCTTCTATTCAGTTTCGAAGGATCGATCCGATTTGTTGGAAGTTGATTTCAAGAAGAACGTTTCAATCCTCTTCAGTATAAATGCCTTCAAAAGTGGGCCGAACTGTAGATGGGTAACTCCTTTGGAGGGAACTTTTAAACTTAACTTTGATGGAAGCTCTTTTGGAATATGGGTCCTGCTGGTATTGGAGGGATTCTAAGAGACTCAAATGGTACGGTGGTGTACTCTTATGCGGGCCCCCTTGGGGACAGAACAACTAACTATACAGAGATGCTAAGCCTTCTTCATGGCTTAAAGATCTTCATTGACAGGCAACTAGGCCGGTTCTGTATTATGGAGGAGGATTCACTCAACGTTATTAATTAGTGTAATGGAACCCATAGCCCCCCCTAGGAGCTTAGGTCCACCCTGCTGCAGCAAGTCTAGGATTTGTATAGGACTCTTGATAATTCGTTTGTGCATATTTTTTGTGAGGCTAATGTGTTAGCTGATCATCTTGCAAAAAGGGGTTCGACCTGTGTGTCTTTTTTAACTTCAATATTGTAATCTCTTTCTAGCTTCTATTTAATACAAGTACGGAACTTCTTTGAGAAAAAAAAAATCTATTAGAATTTATTATTTTTAAAGCTTTAAATTTCATAATTTAATGTTTAAATAGATTTGTCTTGATTGAGGCATCAGCCTTACATAAACCTCACCCATTTATTTGTCCACCCCATCTGATGCTTTTAAATTACTATTAATTGGTCTTCTGCAATTTGCAATTTGTTCATTTCCATCGTGGTATGCCCTGAGCACATTAGGGTTAGGAAACGGGTCAGGTCGACCTGCGTGCTTGATAGGTTGACTTGATCGGACCGTACATAGACCCGCCCGGTTGGACATGTGTCTACTTAACCTAGAAGTGACCCACGTTAGGTCCAGGTCCTATCTAAGTTGAATAGGGGTGGTAATGGTTCTAGACCCCGACCAAGGATCCATGCGGTAGACCCGATCTGGATCTAACATTGGGTTCAAAAGTTGGACCTAGCGGGTCAGCTCGAGGTTCAAATCTTGGACCCGAATACTATTTGGGTCTGGGTCCGGGTCTAGTAATATTTTTCGATTCCTAATTTATGAAATATATTTAAATATAGCTAAACACTAGATATTTTACTTTTTGGGTCGGGTCCAAGTCCGGGTTACACACTATATTTTCGAGTTCGGCTTCGGGTTTGGTGATTTCGGATCAAGTTGTCCCAACCAACCCATTGCCACCCCTAAGCTTGAACCCTATCATGTTGGGTCCAATCAAGTCGACACATTATTTATGTATAAGACAGAAAAAACATACACAGTAACCATGTGTAAAAAATAGAACAGGCTAGACCGCATTTGTACAATATGTGATCGTATAAAGCATCTATCTTTTTCTTAGTATAATTATCATTTCTAGTTTTTAAATTTTATTTATTTATTCACATTCATGATCTCCATGTTAAAAATTATATACTCTCTCAAAAGTAGGATCAAATTATATTTTTAAAATAAATATCTCCATGTTAAAAATTATATACTCCCTCAAAATTAGGATCAATTATATTTTTCAAATATATTTATTGCAAAGCCCGCATTTCTACATGTACAGACTTGGCCACATGCTAACTGTGCCCTCAAAAAATATAGATAATATATTTTATTTTATTTTTATTTCTAGACCTAGAACTAATCTGACCAAGGTCCTGGTTGGGTCCAAATTTAACATAAACCTAATCCGGTTGGGTCCACTTTCAGGTCGACTTGGACCCAATCCATTCCCAAGCCTAGAACGATGGCATCATTAAGGGCCTTCTTTTTTATGCGACATAAAAATATGTAGCAATTAAATGAACAAAACAATAATGCAAAAAAGTATTACAATTTTTTTTTTTTTTTTTTTGACTGTTAAAGTTTTACAAATTATAGAGTAAATAATGGAGAAATAATACCGCAAAAAGAGAACCGAAGAAATTGATAAAGTATTGAATATAAAAATAAATTATAAAAAATAAACAGTAGACGATAATCTACAAATTTAACAAAAGACAAGGATAAGCATGAAAATACTAATAACAACTACAAAAAACAAAAAATTAAAATAAAATAAAATAAAAACTACATGAAAAAACAAAAAAATTAATTTTCCTGAATTTCTCATAGTAAAAAATATGTTATTAGTTGAACATAAATACCCGACCAGATGGCGGCCAGAACATTAAAATGCTCGATGAAATTGTGCATAAAAAATAAAAAATATAGGATTATTTCCAAAAATCTATTTAAGAAAAAAAAAAAACACAAAATCCCAAATCTATAAAAAAATTAAGTAAAATTTTTAATACCTATTTGTAGATCGCTGCTAATACAGTATAAACGCGAATGCCCAATAAAATCATAACTAAAAACTCAATAATCCACATATTTAAGAACAATTTTTTCCAAAAAAAAACCTCAAATTTTGATCTCTCAATTTCTTCCCAAATCAATTTAAAGCGATTTTATATAACAGAACTAACAATTTTATATAACTCAGAATAATTCTAGATTATAATAAATCCTATATAAAGAGTTATTTGGATGTACTTCTTCTCAATAATTCACTGGTAATTCATTGTTTCGTTTTTTTTATGGCATCCATCATAAAATTATATAAGATAAACTTACAGGTAATATTCATACAAAGTTATCTTTTTCAAAAGCTAGTTTTACTTTATTCAAAGTAATACGCCGAAAATCATGTTTTTAGTTAGAAATTGCTAAAAATACCTCGAAACTACCAATTAAATAACTAAATAATATTATATATAATACAATGTACATACCAAACTGTTGATAAAATAATACTGCCTAGAATATCTTAATTTTAGACAAGAGAATTTATTCCAAGTAAAATAAATCATAAATATTCTCAATAAATGACAAGCAACCACAACTTTCACCAATCAGATTCAAAGGAAACCTAACAACATAGGATGCTTATTCCCATCTCTCTCTCCAATAAAACACAAATATGATGTTCTCTCTCTCCCTCTCTCCATGCCAGGAAGAAACAAAAGTACACAGAAAGACAAACCACTATTTCCAAATTTCGGAAATAAAATAGAAAAAAAGTTTCATCAAACTCTAAGAAGATTGACAATTGGGAACACTTGAGGCCAGTTTGTTATGGCTACTCATAACCACATGAATTTAAAGACTTGTACATTCTAGTGAGAAGATTGATGGGTGAGAATTTGTAACTCCATTTTGTTTTGGTTATTCATGATCAGAGATATAAATAAGTGTTGGGTCTCTTTCATTTTGCTTTTCGTGATTGGTAAGAGGTCTTGATTGCTTCCCAAAACGCCGGCATGGCCACACTGTCTGTAACCTCCTTAAACGAAGGCAAATAGTTGACGTCGACAATGACATGATCCCCACTGCCTTCTTGAATCTGAATAATCAATAAAAACTGTCAATCTCTCTCTCTCTCTCTCTCTCTATGCACACTCAAATATGAAAATAATTAGCAGGAGAGAACAGAGTGTCCCTCTCTCTTACATGTAATTAGTGAGAGAGTGAGAACATATCAGCTACTCTCTCAACCACAGAATGAAAATAATGTTTGTGAACAGATAAGCTCGTACAATTTTACAAGATGAAAAGAAATGGGTTTCCACTTACAACAACATCAAATCCAAAAATGGTAAGATCAAGCCTTCTTCTCAGCCAAATAGCTGCATTATTGACTAGTTCTATATCAAGGGAACATTGTCCAGTCTCACAAGTTTGGTCACCAGTAGGAAGAGACTTTAAGCTGCAAATACAAAGAAATAAGCCCACATAAAAGAATTCAAGAAAAGCCATACTAAGCCTAAAAACCAGACCAAATAAGCAGGCCTCTCACCGCAATGTACCTATCAAAAACTACTGGTAAAGAGCCATCTTTATCTGATGAGACCAACAAATGATGGGCATTGGGTGTAGACTTCTTAACAGCATGAAAAATTTGTTCCCCCAACATATAAAATTTGAACAAAACTGACCCATGGTCAATATACTCCTGCATTACCATTGAAAATAATCAAATTTCAAATTAATAAGGACATCATTAACTGAAACTGAATCCCAAAATTGAACAGTGAAAATGGTATTATCAGCTTGGAATATTCAGGAAATTATACAACGTAAAAACACCTGAAATGGTCAGGAAGCTAACTATTTTGCCCCTGATTATCATAAGACATTTCGATGACTAATAATGTTTATTCTAGTCTTTTAACAAGCATGGCACTGAAGCAGTTTAGATGCCTTCTAACTACTGAGGGCTGCAGTGTATCAAAAATTTGGATGATCTGCAAATGTTTGGTTGACACTCAGCAGGTCAATACTAAAAAACTTGAGATTTAATTCAAGCAGTACTCACTATTAGTGTTCTCTCCTAAAATTAGTATCCACGGTTAATTCAAACAAGATCTACTCAAAAATAGAGTTGGACTCTTTTCTTATCTGTTTCCTAATAAGAGTTCTATAATTAGTGTCTTTGGGGTGCCTAGTTATTTTAAGCAGTGATATAAAAATTAGTGAGCTGACTTGCAATCGCCCAAGGCATCTCGGAGCCAGGGGGTCCCTAGTTCTGGATGGTCCCGCATTGTCCAGAACAGGGCAGTTGACTGTACTGAACTGCCTCATTCACTGTAGGGATTCAAGTGATTCCCGGCTCTAATTGAATTCTCTTTCTTTCCTTTTTTTTTTGGGTCTTGATTTTTTTCCTATTTTATTTCTCCTTTTGGGCCAATTTGCCCGGGCAGGTGCCTGAGTTGGAAGCCAATTCAGGGTTTTTAAACGCTAAATTTAAGGACAATTGCCACTCCAAAAGAATCCGTGCTTATATAAGCATACGCATGATAAGTTTGTTAAGGTAGAGAAAAGCATATAAATGCACACATGTATTTCTACAAATGCATAAAAGCAGTTAAACTCATAAAAAGAAAACAGTACAAGTTTAAAGATGAATATTAGAATAAAACAACCTCATCATCATCATCATTTTAGCCTTTCCCAATTAATTGGGGTTGGCTACATAAATCCTCTCCATTCTGCGCTACTAAAGGCCATATCCTCAGTGAGGCCATAAGTCCCTATATCTAATCAGACTACTTCCAATTTAGAATAAAATAGCCTACACCATGAAAACCTTACGTACCTGAATAATAGCTGGAAGTGGAACTTGAAGACCACTAAAATTCTCAATGTTAAAGAGTATGGCCTGTCCAAGGTAATAGGGAAAAGATATTAGTGTGAAACATGCATACAAGACAAAACCATTTAATATATTAGCTCTTTCCTTATTTATTATTAATAAATCAATTAGCTGAAGAGTTTGTTTCTTCTTTCAACAATACACACCATTTGCTGATTCATACATTAACAATTCTTGATTGAAAAAGTCTCTTACAAGTCCATGGACTCTCGTAAACCGATAGTTCATTGGGGTCAATACCATCCAATGAAACGATGGATGGTGATGGAGAGAGTGGGGTCCAACATTGAGGTCATGCACTCTTCTCGTGGGTCCCACTTTATCTCCATCATCTCCCTAATTTCAATGGGGACTACTGCTTTACATGGTCGGATTATGGGATGCTTTCCTGTAACCATGGAGTTGTTAGAAGAGTGTAGAAGTCCATACCATACTATGAGCATCAGATACACCACAAGCAATCTGAGGTTTTACAATGGCTGGAAGGGAAAGTTGCGACTGGGATAGTTTTTCAGCAAGATCAGAAGCATTAAAATCATCAACCTGCACATGAGAAGTACCATTTTGAACTTGTGATTGTGTCAAAGTATATGGCATAGAACCATACATATAACTAGGAAAGTATAATATAGTCCAGTGGACTATGAAAAAACGATAGCCCATACTTGTCATCAATGTCTAATAACCTGATGGATGAAGATGGAGAGAGCACGGGATCCACCAGAAAAAGGACATAACTGGGCAAAGAGCATTATAATCCCTTGCTCCTTTGGAGAAAATATTGCACATGACTCGGATTTAACTTTTAGCTTATTGAATTATGTTTTGGGATGAGTCTGTGATCAAGAATCAACTATGGGTTGAATAGTTTATCATCATTATTCATGTTACCAAGTATAGCAGCTTTTTTTATTGGTGCAGTTGGCATACGGATGCATCCGTAGCTGTAGAGGTAAGGTGCACCTTCAAATTTTATCATGGTATATAATTTTGATGTAAAATGTTCTTAGGATTATCTCAAAATCTATTTTTTATATCATAAAATTTTAAATTTCAAAAATGGTTAAAATCAAGTGGATCTATAAACATATGAAAATCTTGAAAATGGACGGTGTAGATAATATGTTGTAAAATCCACTATTTCTAAGACTTAAAATCTTTTATTTTTCATGGTCATATATCTCGATGTCGAGATGATCAATCAAA